AACTCAGAGGTCAGAGATGCATGCAGCCAGGAGCTCTTCTCTACCGAGGAGGAGGCTAGCCAGTCACAGCTGTCGGATGTTGGCGAAGCACAAACAGGAGAGGAGGCCCCTGGTAAGTGGATTTGATTTTGGGAACCGCTGAAGTGAGTCGTTGGGGGCAGCAGGGTTGCAGAAAGCAGGCTTGTGTCTGTATGATGCATGTACCACCACATGCCTAGTCTGAGCAGCAGAACAGGGTGTTGATTGACTCCCTCACTTCACGGGAATCCGCCTCAGAGATCTCCAGGAAACTCTCATGGACATACTGGGCAATCTCTCCCTTTATTTCCCACTCACCCTCAGCAGCAAGGTATCTTCCATAATGAACACAGCTTGTGGAAAAATATGGGGACAGAAATAATTATAAGGCCCCCCCCCCTACAGTGCTGGCTCTCCCCAAGAGCCACATGCCCAGTGTACAGTAGGGTCTGGGAACACTGATTTCCCCTGTGGCTACTCACCATTTTGGGGGTCTTGTGACTGATGTGTGCTTGCCTAGGGTCAGCCAGTTAGTGACAAGTATGTGAATGGTGGCTGTGTTTTAAATAATTGAATCAGTGGTCACTGTGTTGCAAACAATACTGCTTCTGTAAAAGTTTGCAATTTGGCTTCACAGATATGACCTTGGGAGCCCAGCCTCCCTCTTTGTTACAGCTGGCTGAACGGCTGCGCAGAATTAGAAAACAGCCACGAAGACCTAAGGAGAACTTTCTGCGTCAGGTCATGGTGCACTCTGCGACCGAAAAACAGGAATTGAAGATCAGCGAGATGAGGGACCGAAAGGAAAACGTGGCGCACCAGAATGAAGCCATGGAGTGGCTCTTAAACATTATGGAATGCCAAGTGGACATGCTCCAGGCGATACTAGCACTGCAAACTGAGCAGCTTCACGCCCGCCCTCCCCTGCAGCCGCTGTCGCAAAACTTTCCCATGAACCGCCCCCCCAGACACCGCCAGCACACTCTTATCAACCTCCTGGCTCCAGTCTGTATCCGCAGCATTCCACTTCTCCCCCATCACAGTCCAGCACTGCGGACTCCCAGTACCCACTGCACTCAACACCCGTCCCTCTGCTGTTTAGCCCTGCTGAAGTACAGTACCCACTGCTCTGTACTCCAGAGGAGAAGGTTGGATATGATCCCTGGACATACACAAATCTTTAACTGTCCTGGGACTCCACACCTCCTGGGATCTTCCCTTCTCCCATCCCCCTCTGTGCTGATGTGATTTTTTGTTGATCTCTCTCCTCCGGTTGTTGGTTTTTAATAAAAGAATTATGTTGGTTTGAAAGAAATCTTTATTCTATTAATTGAAAGCAAACAGAGCCCTGCAAAGCAACTGGCAATTTTCTTAAACCTTCATAGTGCATTGTCTGCACCAATCACAATCACCTCCTAGCATTACAAGCACTGCACTCCCGAGTATAGCAACAAATATTAGTGGCTTTCAGCTTCAAATTGCTGCCTCAAGGCATCCCTGATCCTTATGGCCCCGCGCTGCACCCCTCTAATAGCCCTGGTCTCTGGCTGTTCAAATTCAGCCTCCAGCCACTGAGCCTCAGCGGTCCAGCTCTGAGTGAAGCTTTCACCCTTCCCTTCACAAATATTATGGAGAGTACAGCACACGACTATAAGCATAGGAATATTGTCATCGGCCAGGTCCAGCCTCCCATATAGGCAGCGCCAGCGGGCCTTTAAATGGCCAAAAGCACACTCAGTCATTCTGCACTTGCTCAGTCTGATGTTGAACTGCTCCTTGATGTTGTCAAAGTGCCCGGTGTATGGCTTCATAAGCCATGGCATTAAGAAGTACAAGGGGTCTCTAAGGATCACAACGGGCATTTCGACTTCCCCTACAGTGATCCTCTGGTCCAGGAAGAAAGTCCCTGCTTGCAGCTTCCTGAACAGGCCAGTGTTCCGAAAGATGCCTCCGTCATGCACCTTTCCAGACCAGCCTGCATTAATGTCCGTGAAACGCCCACGGTGATCCACAAGCGCCGGAGAACCATAGAGAAATACCCCTTCTGATTAATGTATTCGGTGGTTAGGCAGTGTGGTGCCAGAATTGTAATATGCATGCCATCTAGCACACCTCCGCAGTTAGGGAAGCCCATTTGTGCAAAGCCATCTACAATGTCACGCACGTTGCCCATAGTCATGGTCTTTTGGAGCAGGATGTGATGAATGGCCCTGCACACTTCCATCAACACGAGTCCAACGGTCAACTTTCCCACTCCGAACTGGATAGCGACCGAACAGTAGCAGTCCAGAGTAGCCAGCTTCCACAGTGCAGAAGCTTTGTGGTCAGCTCAGAAAGGAGGTTCCATGTGTAGGAAGTAACACTGAAGAAAGAAAAGCGGTGGTTGTGGGAGAAAGGGACAAACAGCCATTGAGGCTGGCATCTCTGAGGAGCAAAGGGGATGGTGAGAGCTACATGATAAAAGGTGGATAAGTAAAGAAGGAACATGTTAAGAAGGAGGCGGCTTTGGACAGATTAAATGACTAGGCTGACATGACCAGGGACTCATGTTTACATTAAAGATAAGGTGATATACCATACTTTGTCAAAATGTATCACACAACTTATTTAGCAATGAATTTTATATAAATATTTCTTCTGCAAGATGCCCAGAATTCCCTTGAAGTGTTTCATCCCTCATTTGCTGCAAAGATCTTTTTTTTTTTTTTTAAATACAGCAAAAAGTGTGTTACATGACATACAAAGTAAAGAGTATATATGTGATGGAGACACAAACCTTTAAGTGATGTTGCTATAAGCACCACTGAGAAGCTTGGAATAGAGTGAAAGAAGAACTAAACAGAGAAAGGGGTAAAAATTACTAGAATTTAAGAAATCAATTAAAGATTATGAAAATACACTTTAGACTCTACTTATTACAATGCATATTCTTCTTTATATTTGATTTAACTTCCCTGTAGCCCACAATTAATAAAATCTGGTTAGTACTGGATTACTGCATCCTGCTTGAGAACAGAGATAATGTGAATATTAAGAAGACAGCCTTCAAAAGCCCAAGCATGTATAAAGGCCATAATAAAATAAAATTCCTGAACAGATGTAATGGTACAAAACAACTTAGATCCATTTAAACAAAGCACTCAGCTTTTCTATGTGGTAGACAGACGTTTTTGCCCCTGTACGAAAAATGCTGTCCCTTTTAAATCATGTTTTACCTTTTATTTTTCAGTGTTTTAAAAGCAACAGTAATAAAGAAATTGGTGCTTTCCGTTTTATGAATGACAGTTTTAAATTAACAACAGTCCATTTGCCAAGTCACAGAAACATTCCAACTATCAAGAAATTTAAGTTAGACATCCCAAAATATAACAAATAGATACTCCTTGCTAGCAAATGAGCTAGTCAGATGAATTAAAATAACCTGTTAGCCACTCTGCAGCCTCAGACCAAGAGACAAAACATGTCCAGTATCCAAATGACATCTTTCAAGTTTCAGACATACAGAATTAGGTACAGAACTTACAAAGCACTTGGCTAGCTGAAAAGATCAGTGACCCTGAGGGGAAAAAAAATGAGGACCCAGAACAAACCCATCTTAGCATTTCCAGCAGAATTTTTGTTAACACACTGATGACTAATGGATCAATATGGAATGTATCTATGACTAATGGATTCCTTAGTATTATGTATCATTCACAAGAGAATAGAACTAGAAACAAAACAGAAGAAGTCAGTAAGCTAAAAAATATTTAGCAAAAACTGAAAATTTAATTTGAGCTTTAAAACACTACAACAGAAGTAAGAAGAACTGCTTATGTTAGCCACTGAGCAGGAATAAGACTGGAACTCTATGCTATAGGCATATTTGTCTGATAAGGGAGGCACACTAACGTGACTACTATATCATAGTTAGAAGTATCACAAGTACCCAACCAAAGTTCACTTCTAGGTACAAGGCTTTATTATTAAAGACTAATTTTAAATATTCAGTATATTTCACATTTATGGTACTTGGCTATGGTATGTATTTTTTCTTCCACACTAGCAACACTGTGCAACAAAGGCCTGGTCTACACTAACCCCCCAAGTCGAAGTAAGGTACGCAACTTCAGCTACGTGAATAACGTAGCTGAAGTCGACATACCTTACTTCGAACTTACCGCGGTTCAGACGCGGTCCACACGCGGCAGGCAGGCTCCCCGTCGACTCCGCGGTACTCCTCTCGTTGAGCTGGAGTACCGCAGTCGACGGCGAGCACTTCCTGGTTCGATTTATCGCGTCCAGACCAGACGCGATAAATCGAACCAGGAAGTTCGATTTCCAGCTGCCGAACTAGCGGCTAAGTATAGACCAGCCCAAAGTATTATCAATCTAATGTGCTGATTTTATTATCTCCCCTCCCCAAAGCATGCTTCTGTCTTTACTGCAACACCATTTCATTATAGGTATAAAGTTTTCAGAGTCTTGACTGACACAATGGTGCCTACAATACACTCCCACCTGGTTTCCACCCTTTCTGGTGTTAATACAGACTAATGCCAAAGCCCAACCCAGTTATACCTCATTCTCTGCCATGAAATAAACTCTGCCAAAGTCCAAGTAATGTTTTAAAGGCAAGGCAAAGGTTTACCCCTTTGCTGAAAGAAGCAAACCTTTGAAAATTATCAGGTGCTAAATAGAAACAACTGATTTTTTTTTTTTTTTTTTTTTTTTTACAGGTATGTACTGTAGAACATTTTAAATTATTATATAAGCGGAATGTGATGTCTTATCTTGATTAAAACATTTTTAAATTAATGATTTAGTTGACTCCATAATTATGGTTTTAAAGTGGAAGAAGTGTCTACATACCCACATGACAGTGAAATAAAAGATTTTTTTTAAATCTGCATTGTTAGCAAATTCCTATTGTTGAGCCATTCTCAAAAGCCAAGTCTCTCTCCAGCACATAATGATCACAAAAACACTGAAGCTGTACTCACATGCAAGGCAGAGGGATCTGGCAGGAATTCAGCATCCTCTCCAAAGATAAAATCTGGTGGTAGCTCTGGGTAGTGGGCATTGAAAATTATATCCCCTGAAATAAAAATAAGTGAAAAACACTGTTTATTTCCACTTCATATCCCCAAAATCCTAAGTACTGCAGAGGAAAAATTCAATAAGTCCATTTTCAATTAACAGAAGTCATATGCAAAAAACAACTATCAGATGTACTGGATGATAAAGTTAATTCTTGAAGGCACTGCATCTTCCTGTGCAGGTACAGAAAACGTAACAAATTATTGCTTGGTTTCTCACTGCTTATCCCACAAGGGGACACCTTGAAGCACTGATATAGTTCGAAAAGCAACCATATAAAATAGCACCTTCTTCAAAGCAGCACATCTGGGATATTAAGTAATTAAAAATTAATGCCCAGCATATCTGTTTTATGTATTTTTGTGAGTCATATCTAAGGAAAACCTGTTGATTTGCTATTGATTTTATAAGGAAGGCACTCAGGTACTATGGTGATGGGTGGCAGTCTAAAACCCTAAGGTAGACACACAGAAAGCCAAATTTGCAATGCAGTGAATATTGGGAGAGGAAACAGGAAACAATACTGCCTCAAGAATTATCACAAAACTGTTAGGTAAGTACCATTTGCAGAATCCCTATTACTGAAGATGACATAAGAGACAGAACACAGGTTAATTCAGGGGTCGGCAACGTTCGGCCCGCGGCTCGCCAGGGTAAGCACCCTAGCGGGCTGGGCCAGTTTATTTACCTGCTGACGCGGCAGGTTCGGCCGATCGTGGCCCCCACCGACCGCGGTTCGCCGTCCCGGGTCAAAGGGGGCGGTGGGAAGCCGCGGCCAGCACATCCCTCGGCCCGCGCCGCTTCCCGCCGCCCCCATTGGCCCGGGAGGGCGAACCGCGGCGAGTGGGGGCCGCGATCAGCCGAACCTGCCGCGTCAGCAGGTAAACAAACTGGCCCGGCCCGCCAGGGTGCTTACCCTGGCGAGCCGCGTGCTGAACGTTGCCGACCCCTGGGTTAATTGTTGGACCTAGGTTTTCAGTGCTGACAGCTGTGGAGGAAAAAAATCGTCACTGGAGTTGTAAACTGAATACGTATGATTCAAATATCAGGGAAATAAAATATGAACTCCTTGCTATCCTTTTCATAGGACTTTCTACATTTAATAACCATATTTCAAAAGAAAGCTTTTCATTTTGTTTACATGGCACAAAACACACTCATTACACATGAACAGAGAACTACAAAATAAACATTTTAAAATGCATTAAATATTCCTGAGTTTACTGACATGTTTTAGGCATCTTGTTAAATGACACCAACAGCCCCATGCATTAGGCTACTTTAATGCTGGTTTTGATAAGAAAAAAAATCTTTATACAGTAGAAGTCGCTTAATAGATACAGGACTCTCAAGCTTCATTTAAGCAGCCTTCTTGATTAAGGTGAGTTAGTAAACTCTGTGAGGATTAAGGGAGCTACGGAGCTTCTAAGCTCTGTATAAATCTCTGTGGACCTTACTATCTGTATTGACTGAGACACAGACTGTCATTCAAATCTGGGTATTAAACAGATAGTGTCATGGATTTGGAATGGTCCTATCATCCTATCATGCAGTGGTTTTCCCCAGCAAACAATATTTGGGAGAGGACGTAATAGATCAGCTGGAATCATCCCAACTAACCACATCCTGACTGAGTGGAACAGAATATAATGGAAATACTAAAGATCTGGACTATATGTTATTTTTAATGTGTATTAATGCCATCTGAAATTAAATAAGACTATTAATTAGGTCATATTCTCTGACATGGAGTTCCCATCTTAAATATCTCAAAATATGTAACAAAACTACTTAGCAAGATTATGACAGCCTACAGTAGGTTAAAAAATTCTAGTTTGTACTATAAATTTAAATGTCAAATAAAATTCACAGTTTACACAGATCAAGATGTGATTCTTATGTAAGCTTTCAGAGAACTACACTCAGCTAAACAGGAGGAACTGGCTTTGAAAGAAACTGCACTGAGTACTTCTTCCCTGCTTCTGAACTACTCCATTCTCCATCTGAAGATATATAATAGGCAGTAGCTCCATGAGCTCTGCGTGTAAAATAGATTTTTGGGGCAGCAGGCATGAAAAGAAAGAAGCCAACAGCTAAAACCTATTGTTATGTACAATCACCTGTGTAAAACCCATACAGTACAGTAAAACTGAAGACAGGAAAGTAGTATATAAAATTCTGTTCACACAGAGACAAAACCTCTAGGTGTTTTTTAGCTTTCAAAAATGTGTGCATTAATTTAGTGCTGATGAAAAATACTGGATAAACAGCCCTGCAACCTGATGTCCTCTATTCATTCATAGGACAGGTAGAGGATGGGAAATGTGGAGGATCTGTAACTGCTAAAGTTCTGCAAATGTGTCTCAACGTTCATTGAAAGGCACCACCTCGAGAAGCAGTGTGGTCCAGTAGATAGGGTGATTAAGAGACTCAGGTTCTATTCCTAGTTCTGATGTTGGCCTGTTGGAAGATCTTAGTCAAATCACCTGCATTCTCTCTGCTTCACTTTCCCTCATTCGTAAAATGGGAATAATGACACTAACCTCCTTTGTAAAGCACTTTGAGTTCTACAGACAAAGATGATATGTAAGTGCTAGGTATTATTATTATAGGGATGAAGGCAGCTCAGTCATGATGGGCTTCAGTCCTAGGTCTTCCTGCCAACTAGTGTGCAACTTATGTTGTTTTTTATTAATGCGAATGCTTGCCCACTGGAAACTGAAGTAGAAACCATCAAACACATTTCATGTAAGTCACCAAACCACCATCACATGGAAACAAATTTCGTTCACACCGTTCCTAGGGATTTGAAACAGTGACCTAAAGCTGAAAGTTTCTGTAGTCAATCAATCCACTAAGAATTTCTACACAATTTTTTCTGTTTAATGGTGTTTCAAAACATAATGATGAGCTATAATCTATGTTGCACTGGAATTTGATAGGGAACATATCTGAAAACAGCTACATTGATTGAAATAACAACTTTATGCCCATTAAGATGGAACAGAAAGTTGAAATTTCCCACAAAAGAACATTTTGTTTTGAGCAGGTGGAAGTGCTTTGTTTCAACTGTTGTAATATAGTAGCCATATGTAAACAAAGAGCTCTGATAAATTTTCATCTAAAATTTAACTAAATCAGTAAGATCCTACAAAATGTTTTGATTAGGGCTGTCGATTAATCACAGTTAACTCAAGCGATTAACTCAAAAAAATTAATCACAGTTAAAAAAATGAATCATGATTAATCGCACTGTTAAACAATAGAATACCAATTGAAATGTATTAAATATTTTTGGATGTTTTTCTACATTTTCAAATACATTGATTTCTATTACAGCATGGAATACAAAGTGTACGGTGCTCACTTTATATTATTATTTTTATTACAAATATTTGCCTGTAAAAATAACAAAATAAATAGTATTTTTTCAATTTATCTCATACAAGTACTGTAGTGCAATCTCTTTATCATGAAAGTATTGCTTACAAATGTAGACATTTTGTGTTACATAACTGCACTCAAAAACAAAACAATGTAAAACTTTAGAGCCTACAAGTCCACTCAGTCCTACTTCTTGTTCAACCAATCGTTAAGACAAACAAGTTTGTTGACATTTACGGGAGATACTGCTGCCTGCTTCTTATTTACAATGTCACCTGAAAGTGAGAACAGGCATTCGCATGGCACTTTTTTAGTCGGTGTTGCAAGGTAATTATGTGCCAGATATGCTAAACATTCGTATGACCCTTCATGCCTCGGCCACCATTCCAGAAGACATGCGTCCATGCTGATGACGCTCGTTAAAAAAATAATGTGTTAATTTAATTTGTGACTGAACTCCTTGGGGGAGAATTGTATGTCTCCTGCTCTGTGTTTTACCCACACTCTGCCAGACAGTTCATGTTATAGCAGTCTCGGATGATGACCCAGCACGTTGTTTGTTTTAAGAACACTTTCACTGAAGATCTGACGAAATCCAAAGAAGGTACTAATGTGAGATTTCTAAAAATAGCTACAGCACTTGACCCAAGGTTTAAGAATCTGAGGTGCCATCCAAAATCTGAGAGGGACGAGGTGTGGACATGCTTTCAGAAGTCTTAAAGGAGCAACACTCCAATGCGGAAACTACAGAACCCGAACCACCAAAAAAGAAAAATCAACCTTCTGCTGGTGGCATCTGACTCAGATAATGAAAATAAACATGCGTCGGTCCACTCTGCTTTGGATCGTTATCGAGCAGAACCCGTCATCAGAATGGACGCATGTCCTCTGGAATACTGGCTGAAGCATGAAGGGACATGTGAATTTTTAGCGCATCTGGCACGTAAATATCTTGCGTCGCTGGCTACAACAGTGTCATGTGAACGCCTGTTCTCACTTTCAGGTGACGTACACAAGAAGCAGACAGCATTATCTCTGGCAAATTGTAGCCAAATTTGTTTGTCTGAGTGACTGGCTGAACAAGAAGTAGGACTGAGTGGACTTGTAGGTTCTAGTTTTACATTGAAAAATAAAACAATGCAGTTATTTTTTGTACAAAATTCTACATTTTAAGTTCAACTTTCATGATAAAGAGATTGCACTACAGTACTTGTATTAGGTGAATTGAAAATATTATTTCTTTTGTTTTTTAGAGTGCAAATATTTGTAATAAAAAATAAATATACAGTGAGCACTTTACACTGGGTATTCTATGTTATAATTGAAATCAATATATTTGAAAATGTAGAAAACATCCAAAAATATTTAAATAAATGGTATTCTATTATTGTTTAGCAGTGTGATTAATTGTATGAATAATCACAATTAATTTTTTTGATTGTGCAATTAATCACCATTATTTTTTTAAAATTGCTTGACAGCCCTAGTTTTGATTTCATAAGAGAAGCATTTTCCAAAAGAAATCTGTTCGGTCTGAAAATTTTCGACCTCTAAAAATATGAAAACATAATAGATATTACAATCCAACCTGAATATTAACTGTATATGCAGTAA